TCTTGAACTCCAATCGTGCCAACTTCATATTCTCTGCAAAATATCATCAGCAGATTATTATTCTTTATTGCTGGAGTTTATATCATGAAATATATCGCAGGGACATGATCTCGAATTTCAAGAAAAACAGTTAATCCTATAACCAGATCTCTTTACTATTGGGTAGAAACTGAATGACTCTGGAGGAACAGGGTACCAACTATTATAGCAGTGACGATGAGGATATCGCATCGGGGAAAAACCATCTGGTGATGGTGATGTAGTGTTAGGAGCTATAGCATCACAAGGGAAAGGATGTCTTATAATTTATCCCAGATATTTATATCAACCTACTTAGGGGTGACAGACATATTATTTTAAACGATTATTCTACTGTGATCGTCACTAGCTATAAATACAGATAGAGAGATAAACAGACTTTCTGCAATAGAACACACGTTAAAAGCTCTAAAACAATCATCTCATTTCTCTCATTGTTCCCATCCACCACAACAAGTGTGTGAAGGTTCTAGTAGCATTCAGTGACTGTACTTTGCAGACTTCTTATTTAAGCGTCATCTCATAATTTACCATTCCGTCGGTATTGGCCTAAATTCAGTTTGAAGTTGCTAAAAATATGAATAAAAATGGCATCCCATCATACTCGGCTTCAAACTCAAGTGTTGACTTGATGTTGCCGAAGGGAATAATCACAGTGAAACGTCGTTCACAGGTCCTCGCTTCTGATCCAGAGTTACTCAAGCATGTTCACATCTTCACGGTGACAACTCCTTCACACCTATACTGCTCTTTTGATCACACTGGGGTGAAACTCTGTGTTCACGCTGCTGGTGCAGCAGACCAGCATAAGCACATGCCAGTGAAATGTGCTGTTACGACCAACATGGCTCACGTGGATTGAACCAAAATCGACGTAAGGATGATCAACGTATCGAACTCTTACACACAATGGTGTGAGGTGGCTGTGGGAGGTGCAAAACCATGACGAAGACAAACCATGTTTTGGTCATGGACGCCTCTCCAATATAGATCTGGGACTATGGGATAGGTGCCACGCCACCAAGTGCTCGGAGCCAAGTGGACCCCAATCACGTCTCTTTCTCTATCGTTAGAGATTTGCAACTCTAGACGTGTATGGAAGTTGATGACGCTGTGCTCGGATTAGATGGACTCGGTGCGCCGAAGAGTTGTGAGGATTGTTGTCAGTGCAAGGGGACTCGAAGGATTAGACTACTTGATACAGTCAATTCATGAATCTGCAAAGTTTCTGAATGACTTTGAAAACCATTTCCGCCTGTCAAATATGATTTATTTATCTTTCTGCATCTCCATTGCATGTCAAGGTCGATGACAAATTTCCATTCTACCTTCTTTCCCTTGTACATGCTAACACACTTCTTTATTCTTGTACATGCTCACATGATAACTCTTTTCTATAAAGTCTATCAATGAAGAGAATATTGTTATTCTAGACGTTCTCTTGAATCCACCTGAGTTACTCATCAATAAATTGTTATGCTGAATTTTATATTTAGTAATAGAACTTTCATGTTTATTTCTGTCATGTAAATTGAAAGGCATGGATACATTTACTTAATAGTATGAGATTGATATAAACTAGACAAAACTTGGATCCACATGACTCAAAATGATTTCACCACCTAAAATAGCTTCCGATGTTGAAACAAGAATCGATAAATTCACAAACATATATATTTACAAGCACGATGGGTTAAGTCCACGAAAACAAAGAGGTCTTTCTTGAAAAACCTATAAAGTGTTTGACATTTCTGGGCTATATCGACGGTAACAGCAAATTTGTTACTGAAAAACTTACAACCTATTCAATACGAGTTTTGGATTTTTCTCCTATATATACATGGTAGCAAAATTCCAAGTTAGCTAGAGTTAATCCTAAAACTAATTTTAACTCGAGTAAGTTAAATTAAAATTCAATCCAAAACTTGAATCAAAACTAACCACCTTCTCTTTTCCTCATGTCGAGGGGATAGTAAACTCCACAGCCTATATAATTATTCCACAAGAAGTTTTAGCAGTAAATCTAAAATAATACTCTCTTTAGAATAAGGCTAACTAGATCTAAACAATAGACAAAACATGATAGAGTAAGAATATATGGAATTAACAAAGTTGCTAGTACATTATATATTTTGCTAGTAATCTCTACTTGTGCTCCTCATGCAAAAACTGCATACTACCACAATGCCTTCTGAAGGTAATAACTTTGGTCAATGCATTATGCATTGGATTGATTTTAACTTTAATCTTAATTAGTTCAATCCTGTTATCTTACATTATAACTATAATAAAGTGATATCTCATGACAACGTGTTTCACAATGAAGATTGACAAACTCATTTTTCAATCACTTTTTTATGATAAGTATATTTAATCAAATAATCATTCTTGTTATTTCTGCTACCGTTGTAAAATCAATTTTTGTTATGGACTCAAAGTTATATTTTTGTAAATTATATTTTTAATTAATGCATTCATCATCAACTGTATATATATATATATATATATCCAGTTGTTTTTTCTTGTCTTGATCTTGTTCATAGTTTGCATGAACGTAACTTAGCAAGAATTTGACATTTTTCATTAAACCATCAAACCATACACCATAATCCTTAGTTTTTTAAGATAATTGAGAATTCATTTTTTTTTTTTTTATGGATTTGACATGTACTTGGTCTATAGCTAAAACAATATCAAATCTTCTTCACATCATTATATAACTTAGGTTACTTAAAACTTCATAATGGGCAATTGATTGCATCTTTTTTTTCCAATAACATCTGTTGTACATTGAGTTACGAAATTGTTTGAAATATATTCAAAAAGGATTTTATATTACTTTAGAATTTGTTATGTTAAAGTTGTCAAGCACACTATCTACCTACTTGCTTTAACTCAAACATAGCCTTATATTCTACAAATCTATATGAGTAATTATCACTAAAATAATCTCGAATGTTGCCAAATCCTTCATCACAAGTACAGACTTTAATTAATTTTTGAATCTGTTGGCGTCTTATTGATTCTTTGCTAAAATGAAAATGTAATTCTTGTAGATTATTATAAAGAGATTAAAGATTTCATTATTGAAATTCTTCAAATATACACATGAATCATACATAGTCTGTGAAATTCCTTGTGTTCTTATGAACTCATCAAAATCACTTTCCATTTTTTGAAAACTTGCTTAAATGTATAAATGAAAGTACTTGTCTATTCTACTCAGAGCCAACTAGTTGTATCATGTAGATATAATACTCTGAAGATTTATAGAGAAATGCTTCAATTATCTACAAGCAGATTTGATCCACTTGCGAATTAAATATTGCTTAAACCAGTGAAATTGGAACATAATTTTTTACGTTTTAGACAAATTTGTTGTAATGCATATTTTTTTCTTTTGTGAAACCTTTAGACATTGACATGACTTTCAAAAATTTTCTCCCATCATATATTGAATTGTACTCTAATTTGTGCATACACTTGTAATTAATCAAAACTTGATATTTTGAAAACTCCATTAACTCACGGATCTTATATTCCATTGCAATTGCATCATTCATCATCATTGTAACACATTCAATTGTTAACTAATGAACACAAGGATTGTTTACTTGTCATTGCCAATCAATATACTTACTTTCTAGTTTGAAAGCATAGAGTTTTTTATCACTTTGGATTGAAACTCTAAACTCAACAAATTGAGAGATCTTTTCCAAAGAGAGCTAAGGAAAACTATTTTACAATGTGCTACAAAATAACAAGTTAGGTTGCACAAGAATTATAAACTAGAGAATAAGATGGATAAAACATCTGATATCTATGTATATAGATCTTCCCAGTCTCTTTTCCATCACGCTAAACAATTACTCCGTCAGGGCCAAAAAGCCTGAAAACTGAATGATAGCATATAAAAAGATTACTTCAAAACCCGAAATCTCAAAATTGCGAAGTTCACTCAGGAAAAAATTCATTGCATTAAAATTTCTATGGATCTCTAATAGGCATCCACTAACTCATTCATTTCCATAAAAGAATGCAAATATTGAGTTATGGACCCCACGGTTCTTAGTCAAACACAGCCATAAATTATATATTTTTGGAGCCCTGCATTCCGAAAAAGCTGGAGGTGCAATGACTCTGTTCTAGGCTGTTGATGTGACGGTATTTATATATTTTATCATATCATTATCTTTTGTACATTATTTCTTTAAGTGATGTTTTATGAATTCTTATGTTTTGTGTTACATTGATGTGTACTGCTATAAACTTAGTTTTAAAAAAATATATTTTTTAGGAAATAAATCTTATAATTACGTACATTCTTCATTGTAATTATACTTTAGCCGATCACTTACAGAAATATGTTGAGGAATCAAAAACATTTTTATTAGCATTTGGAGTTGTCTAAATATTTAAAATACTAACACACATGGTAGAAATTGTGTGACCACAATATACATACAGTTACGGTGAATCATTTGTTTCTCCTAATGAATAATACAGTTCAGACTTGTTGATACATTGATTAAAAAGAAACACTAGTTGATATTTTTTAGAAAGGTTTGATGTAATCTATAATCGGATGGGTCTGTAGTGCATTGTAATATTAATTACTGTGTTATGCTATTTAGATGAAATCTTATCTTTATTAACTATGCAGTATAGTCTATACTTCTTGCTACTTTACTCTCCTTGTCATTTGTGTATTTGGTAGAGGATCGTATACATGGAGACATAGCGCTATCATGTGCAATATAAGAGATGGAGCTTCCCGCTGTCCAGGTCGGGAATGTCGTCAAAGCCATCCATCTCTCCACCGTGGCGTTGATCGTGCGTCATTCGGAGCGAGTGCCGATCGAAAGCCACGGATCGCCACGTAGGCCGCGCCAAGTTTGAGCTTTCATGATTCAAAATCCCGCGCTTCCGGTCATATATGAACTGTAACGACGGCAAAGTTCCTACAGACCAGAGCTTCGATCCCGCACTCGCCATTGCCACCGACGGCATTTCTGCTCGACGACATTCCTTTGGACAGTCTTGCATCTGGTCGACGCCGCGTAAGAGAAGGTGAGTTCTGTCACCTGAAGCCTCCAGTCATGCGCACAAACGATAGGATTAGGTCGATTTGGTGTCTTTCATCTCGGATCCATTCCCTTGAGGTTTTTTTTCGATACTTGTGTACTTCTTCACCTCTCTCCACGTGTTCTCGGCATTCTATGCGTCCTTTCCTGGCTTGACCAATATTTTCGTGTGAAGTCACGTAAGACTGTCAAAGCCTGTCGCTCTTCCTATGGTCGATTACTTTCGATTCCGCTCGTCGAGTTCTCAGTATTGCTGATGACCCTCGACACAGGTCGTGTCGAGGGTACTCTGGATAGCTGTGCCGCCGGTAACCTCCTCAGACTCTGGGAGCTTGAAGGTGCATGGCTCGTGGAGTTGAGTCATGTGGGCGTCAGCGTTCTTAACCTGTTTAATACAATGTCTTGTAGATGGCTCGAACCAAGCAAACCGCGAGGAAGTCTACTGGTGGTAAGGCTCCGCGCAAGCAGTTGGCCACTAAGGCCGCGAGGAAGTCTGCTCCTGCAACTGGGGGCGTCAAGAAGCCGCACAGATACAGACCTGGAACCGTTGCGCTTCGTGAAATTCGGAAGTATCAAAAGAGCACAGAATTGCTGATCCGCAAGCTTCCTTTTCAAAGGTTGGTCAGAGAGATTGCTCAGGATTTCAAGACCGACCTTCGTTTCCAAAGTTCAGCGGTCCTAGCCTTGCAAGAGGCGGCTGAAGCTTACTTGGTTGGTCTTTTCGAGGACACAAATCTGTGCGCGATCCATGCCAAGCGTGTCACTATAATGCCTAAAGATATCCAACTTGCACGGAGGATTCGTGGAGAACGTGCTTAAAACGCATCAGACGGTCAGTTCTGACAAGACCTCGTGTGTAGACAGTAAATGACAAGGATAGAGGACTCCGGGACCAGAAATTGGCCTGGCCCTGTAGAGGATATTTTGATAGGACGTGCACCTGACCCGGGCAGGAATTTTCAAGCGACCACAAACTCGTTGGCCGCGACACTGTACAGAAAATCGTAGAAATCTTTCTGCTGTTCACGCGAAGACATAAGAAATAAACTTTGCTTACGTGCGTCAGTAGATCGGCATCTCGCAGCTCCCTTGCATGAAGACTTACATAAGTTATGAAGATGTAGAGTATCGTGTACAATAATCTGCTCATTTTGCAATCATTTTTGGTGAATCTTATTTTTTTAACAAATATACAATTGCTGCTGAGTGGATTGTAAGAAATAAATTATCCATACTTCCACGAAAGAACTTTGACAGCTAGATATCAAGAAATTCATCTGCCAACACAAAGATGTCCGCCTCAACGGTCTTATCAAGAGAAAAATGGTAAAGGCGACCAGGGCTGCCCCCAAACGTGTTGTTAACATCGAGGCTAGAAGAGTTATGAAGGAAAAAATAGTATGAAAACATCTGGATGTGAGAAATTAAGATTCACTATCGGTGAGTATTGGGATAAACAATAAATGACCTAGCTTACAAGCAGGCCAAACAGAAAAGAGAAGAAAGCAAGCGTAACAAAAGCCCCTTCTCAACATTAATCAATTATCCTCGCAAATCCCACTTGTTGCATCTGAGCCAGCAGAGATGGCTCCATGAAAGTGTGTGGTCGCGGCCTTAAACTCCCACCGCCCTACAAAACGCAGAATCCCGTAAACAACCGGATTTCTGATAGCTCCTGCTTGTTCTTATTCTAAGCATGAGGTTGGATCCGGAAATCTTTATCAAAACCAAAAAACAAAATCTGAGGACACGTCAGATAATAAGGCCATTATCGACAGATCAACCATGTTTCTCGGTAGCAAGAAATATAGACAGATTGAAATTCACAGAACTGCCACAATGCCACATGGTGCGATGTCACTTTACATTTTACTCGTAACTTTTAGCTACCAGATTGCGCTTAAAAACAGTATTTCCAATATTCAATAAGGGTTCGGAATATAATGTTCTCACCTTCTATCTACAAGTACAACAGAGCGCATTTCGCAGTTGGCAAAACTGCAGTCGAACATATCAAACACGCGTTAGCAATGAAAAGAGCAACACGATCGATAGAACGCAATCAATCAAAATAATTGAATCAATCGAAGAATGTCAATCAGGAAAGGACTAATTATGTGGTTCTGATTTGACTTGAGCTGAGCAGCCATCACCAACCGTGGCCATTAAATGCCTCAGGAAACTGCTATGAGAAACAACAGCAATGTCCGTCTCTTTTCTCTTCAGCAGCCTGTAGGAAAATAGGAAAGAGGAAACAAAACACATAAAGTTGGTCAGGCAGTGAGTGACACACTTAGGGCGAAGTTCTTTTTGAATTCTGGATGAGCATTGTTCGTCATACACAGCCGTCATGAATTGGAAAATGAAGCCGCTATGGGATACAACAGCAATATCCGTCTCTTTTCTTTTCAGGATCCTGTATGCATTGAGATCGGTCATCAGTGACCGAACTCCTCTCTAGCATTTTACATGTATCAAGGTACTGAAACAAGAACTGAGAAATAATATTTACAAGTGGCTGATAACCCAAGACTTGCATGTGCCATAAGCACATGCATGTAAGTTCATTCTTTCATTCTCTAGAAGATAAAGAACGATGTACAAATGTATATATTGATCGCGTAGTTACAAAAACGCTATTTAGTAATGCATTCACAGCACTCGTGTTGCCTGTTATCAAAACATGCTGCATCGACATTAGAATATTCAATTGATTCACTACAACATCGGAAATAGCATTTGAAACTCCAATTCTTCAACTGTCAAAAGGGAAATCTCGTAATCGCCACATACCATTCCACGAACTTTTTGGTTCGTCCAAATAATTGCTCCTTAGTTTCCCTTTCAGTTGGGCTCCAGAGAGCATCCTCGTCCTCTTCAACCTTAAAAGACATGTCAAGAGTTTTTAGTCTTCAGCAAGCCATATAAACAGGTGTAGACATTCAATGGAGCAGAAAGGGGCACAACTACAGACATTATCCACTTGAAAGCTCATAATAATGAAAGCTTATTATGAAAGCTCAGAAACGAAGGTGAGGAGCACGAGCAAGTATGATTACGCAAACCAAGAATAGAATAGGGAAAGAGTGGAAGATTACATCTGAGAAATCAATAGCCGTAAAAGACTCCTGTAAGTTGTGATGGTCTGATGCTGGTCACAAGGATGGAGTCCCTGCAAGAAAACGCACAACTGAGTACCCTAAAAATTATAGGTGATTCTTCTCATTATTTACAAATGTAGGTGATTCTTTTTCACACCTGTGTGCTTAAGTACAACCAGTCTCTAGACGCACTCTTCGGTTTTGTTCTGTCATACAGGGACTGCTAAGATAAGAGCACGTACTTATAGACCAAAGTCAGGGCAAGTACCAAATCTCCACTATGACAGCCGTGACGACTTCACACGAGGTGGGCAAGAAGCAGACAGAATTTCGACAACGTGCTTATCGGTAGATCAAAAGAAGACACTATGTACAACATAGCTGCTCCACATTCACATTCAGTATGAAAAATCAGATGTAATAACAATGCGCAGCCGAACAACTTCTAGTTAATGTCTCATCGAATTTAGAATGAATCGATGGGGAAACAGATAATACTGTAGCTTAGAAGCTTAGAAGCTTAGAAAGTCACCATGTGTTCTCTACACCACTCCACCGCAACGAAAGGAGGAGCACCACTACGGGCTATAGCTTAATGTTTCTCCATCCCTACTCCATCAACCATAAGTGCAGGTCCGGCGTCTGCACCACAATGTCTTCCCCACCAAAGATTCCAACAGCTGTCTGCATTGTTCTGCATGATGAGAAACCAATAGAGATTCAGTGTAAATAACCAAGTCTTTGAATCTGAAACAATGTCATCAAGTAAAAACACTCTGGAGCAAGACCGCTATGTTTATCAAGATTCAGACAAAATGAGAAATTTGGAGGTGACTAAAGCATACCTGGTTAAGGGAGAGACTACTACCAACTGCAGCGAGTCGGCGATGCCAACTGATCTCACGTGGTTGCGCAGTGCAGTAACCTGCACAAGTTACAATACGGGTAAGAAAGTCGAGAAAAGACCGAAATGGCATACTGCTAAGATCAGTCTACGTCTTCCAAAACACCGAGGGCTTCTTTTGAACGACATGTCACAGTTCATATTATTCAAATTTAATGTGTGGCCTGTGAGGGTGAGCTTTGATATGTACCTTCTTATGCGACAGGAGTTAGCTTTCAAGACTGAAGGAAACTGTTAGTGCATTGGGGCTTCATACCAATCAGAGCACAATTCATTCATTTGGCCTTGTAACTCTCGAATACATGTTCGTTTTATGAACCCCCCAGATGTACAATTGATGGTCTCGAGCAAGCGGTTGACGTTCATTGAGCGTAGAGTGTGTGATATCAGGGCTTTGTTTATATCTCGGCGTAAATCGCAATTCATGAACTGATAGAAGGAAAACATACAAATAGAGACACCAGTTACGACGTGATTAAAATCAGGCATACCGAAAACTAGAGAGCCTGCATTCGACAATTGCAAGAAGAGAAGCTTTTTGTCTCGCATTAAGGTAGCGTACTGTCTGAACTGTGTTGAAGGCATGTCACCACAGCAAGAAGACTACACAGGAAGCCACCAGATTGATAGGCGGAGTCAATCAGTATCCCAGAATCAGACAACATTTTGAAAATCCTACATACGGCTAACTCTCATCCCTGTGCATTCAACAGTTGTTTGACCCTTTTAAATGATATAGGTCCAGCTTATTGTTCTGAATGATAAGTTATCATTCAGAACAAAAACAGAATCATCATACAGGATATGTATTGGATTTCAAGGCTGACCATCCCACTAGTAAGTGAAGGAGTTTCATCACGTTGAGACTTGCAACAGAACATACTTAAAAGTTTGTCCTCAAAGTGATATTTTGATAGATTACCCAAAATCTGACCTTTCTCAGACAAATCACTGCGCGATTGACATATTTGCAAAGATTATAAAAGACTTATACAAGTGAAAACTGCAAGGAAGATTTCGCAGAGGTTCATTTGCATGAGGATCTAAACATATATTTGTCATCTGCATAATGATATTCTAACCTCTTCAAATTCCTAATCTGTCAAAATGCCAAAACTACGACCTTTATCCATGCACTCCTCGCACACCCATGCATGCCCACCTAATTCTTGTCTCGCGTATTTCACCTGGTACAACTTGAAGATTTCCGAATAGTTAATAGGAGCAAGAGTCTGCTGAATCCTAAGCCATGCTTCATTGAGCTCCCTGCTTTCCCCACCTTTGAGAAGTGCCCTACGATCACGATTGCTAAAATCTAGTTTAACAATATCAGATTTGAAATCTTCCCAGTCTGGAATCGCTTGGCCCAAATTGAGTGTCTTATCCAATCCAGCCTTCAAAGCATAGTACATGATTTTGCATGAAATTTCAATAGTGTTCCGAATCCACTTGCAATTCTCCCTATCCACGTGTATAATCAAACCTTTTTGATCTTTGACCATGTGAATCTTAGAGCCATACTCATACTCACACATGAAGTGCAAGCGAACGATTGTCCCGGCATTCAGAGCTCCTTTCATCCTATAAAATACGCCAACATCCGTCGTGACATAAGGTCGCTTGGGAGTTTTGGCCTGCTGATGCGAATGAGAATACTGAATGAACCTGTCCACTTCAGACATGAAAAAGCTCAAAGTTGACTGAACATTTTGTTGGACAGTGAGTATCTGTTGGAACATGCTCTCCTTTGATCTCAACCTCTCATCCTGCTTATCGGACTTAGACCTGTCAAGTCGGTCTGAATAACTCGAGTTGCCAACCCTGTTCCCACTTTGAGTGTAAGGTTGATTCAAATCTTTGCTCACGCTATATAATGCTTTCCGAAATGATTCCAGTTGTTGGATGCGCTTCTGTTGGATCTCATTTACAACCGCTTCTACATCGCTCTCCGACAACAAATCTCTAGCTATTTCAAATATTTCCGGTGTGTACCCTTTAATCGAGGGCCAAAAGTGCTCATAGTTGAACAACTGTTCCTCCTTCACCAAACGCAACCTATCCGACGCTATATCCTCAAGTTTGTCATTGATGCGACGTATGTAGTCTGATTTGAGATCCTCGATCAGAATGGCTCCTCTGAGATCACTCGGAATCAACATCTCCACACAACGTGTTTGGATCACACCCATCACTAACGCCACCCCGGGACAACCTTTGGATGATGCGCAGAATGATATCAACTCGTCGATGATATACTTCCTCATGTATTGCAGAGACTCCGACCTTGATTTATGCTTCGAGCCTAACATCAGAACATCCACGTACTTGTAGGACTTTCCTTGCTCGATGTAGATCTCGTACCCATCAAACAAAAGTCGTAGATAATGTCGAGAAAAGGTCATATTCTCCTTGACAAAATGCTTCTCAGATATCAACTTGCGTCTCATGAACATCTACAATGATACGAAATTTGATAAATATTGAGCTGCGCATTCCAAAAAAAATCATCTTATGAAATGAAAACACTCCATTCAACGATCAAAAATTCTAATCAGAACTTGACGCATTCAACCTTCTCACAGTATATATGAAATCACCTGGAAGCATGGGAAAAAAGCAGCGGTGAATGACATTGTTGTTCCATCTTGGCATTGAATCCTGATGCCGACATACTTTGAATTCTTATCCGCTGTTTTCCAAGCCAATTTCTCAGAATTCTGTTCTTCTGTGCTTGCAAGCTCAGGTATGAAGGAGGGAATGAAATATTGAGAAGGATCTTCAACCTTGAAACACAAATCCAAATTGATAAGGATGTCTTCAAGCACCTGTCTGTTCACACCATGTGGTTGCTTTCGCCGAAACTCCTCTATCAACCGATCAAAGTCACTCTCACTCACAAATCCGTCGTTGCTTGCGTAGGAGTAATGGGACATTGTTTTCTCAAAGGACATGGACTTATGAGTTTGAAAATTTTGACCTAGAGTTACCAGCTCACCCAATAATGTATTAGTAAGCCAGTTTGGATCTACAATGATATAATCAAAGTTGGGGATATAAACAATGGATCCGACGTCATTCAAATATGATATGATTGCACTCATTATCTTTGAATGATCATCGGCGTGAGCTGAAGAAGATGGAATGAAATCTGTCAATTCGGAAGCACAAAAGTTTTGAAAGGTTTTGAATAGCCAAAGAGGGGACTTTCTGTTGTTCTTGGTGTTTGTAACCAAGAGGGAGGAGAGGCGAGAACACAATTTGGGAACACGTGGAGACTTTTCACTCAACAAAATTTTGAAGATCTCAAAAATATGGTTCTTGAGAGGAATAACTTCCTTCTTCTTCCGTGAATCAAGATAAAAACACTCTTGGTGGAGATCCACAAAATTTGTGAATCTTTTGGTCAGTGTCTCTACTATGCTCTGAGCCCACTTCAAAGAGTTGTATCTAACTTTATCCTTGTGTGTAATCACAACAAGAACTTGTGGACGATTATGTCCCGTGACCCTAGAGGTGGATGTGATGAAACTTAACCAAGCCTCCAACTCAGTCTGGAAACAAGAATCTGGTTTCTTTTTCTGTGAAGAAACATCAATTTCTTCACAAAAGGGACTATACACAAATAGGAATATACAAAAATTGCTGGATTGAGGAAAGAGCACAGTTTGAAGGGTACGGAAAATGCCTTGTCCCGCAAGATCCCAAATTGAGATTTGAGTTTTGTCATCGTTTTGCAACCACTCCACTTCAATTCCCTTTGTTCTCCTCAACTCCTTCACTTTGTTGCCAATCCAACTTTTGCCTTCAACTATCCTCATCAGGGTTTGACGCACTTTAGTCTTGCCTGCAAATCAATAAATAGAATCGAAACAAATACAATTTGTTACTTAAGATATTTTTACAAATTATTTGCTATCATATTGTATAGATAAATAGTATTGGAAAAAATCCGATTTTCACAGTAAAATTTGACATTATGAAATAAATATAGTTTTCCTTCTAGTTTTCTAAAAAATTTACACAATTCCAAATACATGTAGATAAAAAAATTTAACCTTTTGACTCTAGTATTAACTTTTGAAAAGTCAAATTTTAGATTGCTTGTTTGCATACATTGAGAGAAAATCTGATAACATTCAGAGCGCGTTACCTGCTAGAGGAGAGCCGCATAAGAAAAGTCGACCAGCTTTTGCATCTCCAAATGCTAATTTGGCTTCTCTGAAAACAGACATATAGACAGCCCGCTTCTGGTTCTGCAGGAGCGCCTCTTGAATCTGCGCCGCCTTTCCGTCCTTCTCCCATGAGGTGCCATATACATATATTTCCTGGATAATCAAATTTACTTGCAGGAGCCCCATCAGGCACCTAAACGCCTCATCGTCGAGTTCCATTACTTGGAATTCTCTTGGAAAACTAACCCTCCAACACAAACCCAAGGAAGTGAGACTTGTGTTCCCTCGCAAGCACCGAAGCACGTACATCAATTCAGCTTTGGTGACATTTTCCAATCTCAGCGTCTCCAGGACTAAAGTCTCTTCTCTGCTTCCATTCGTCCACAGGATACTTTCACATCCAAATTCGTTGCTTGATACATTCCATATGTTGAAGTCTTTTAGAGACTTGATTTCCCCGCGCAGTACCCTACCTAATAGGTTTAGTGACAACACGCGATCATGGTCATTCTTAGTTTTGAGACTTAGAGACACTGTGGGGTCGTTGACATCAGAGCTAGCAGCACACGCAAGAGCTTCTATTGATTTCCACCAATCTTCATCGTGTTCGTGTAACGTAAACGTTACCCCAATGCATTCTGCTATAGCATTGTCACGTAGGACTTTGCCTAGCTGGTGCCAGTCCTCAGGACGCATCCTCAAGTTGTTCAGATACACTTGCTTCAATGATGGGTTGGAAGTAAGAACTTCCCTTAAACAGTCTCCGAGTCCAGCCATTTTCTTTAGCTCAAGACTTTCAATTGATCGGTTGCGATCGTCTCCGGCCAAAGCTTTCAGCAACAAGGCCGCTCCCCAATCCACCTTCGTCAACAACAATCCTTCCAAAGAGGAGCTCTGGATCAAAGCCTGGGACAGCATTCCAACGGCCTCATCATCCATTTTCGAACTGCCGCCAAGCCGCAACGTTTGTAATAGAGGAGCACTGTTGATCATGTCAGCCACATGCTTCACCGCACTCGAGTCCTCCCACGCTTCTTCTAAATCTAAACTCTCGAGTTTAGATTCGCAATTTCCACTTAGTCCTGAGGCGAGATTCAACCAACATCTGGCACTCAATCTGCAATTGAATATCGTCAATTCTCTTACGCTAGAGCAATTCAGAATTCCCCCCAACTGTAAACACAAACTCTCCACTTCCTCATCTGAACTCCACTTGTTACCACCAACGTAGATTCGTTGAATGGTGCGAGACATGAATCTTCTGAAAATTATCTCCCTCTCGCTTGCCGTCAACCTCCATATACCTCCGCCAGAAATATCGAGATCTTCAAAGATGTTGCAGTCGCCGATTGCCTCTAGCACTCGAAGGCGCACTTGGCTTCGCCACCCTGTCATCGTCGAAATCAATTCACGCCTCGGAAAGAACTTCCGAAATTCAGAACTGCTAAAATCGGGAAACCTCGTTACAGGTTGGCCTTTGCCTTCTAGACACCATATAAGGGCCTGGACAGCGTAGGGAAGCTTCGGTTCCTCGTCTGTCTCGCTCAAGTCAGGCGACTCTGGTTCCTCGTCTGTCTCGCTCACGTCAGGCGTCTCTGGTTCCTCTTCTGTCTCGCGCACGTTTGAAGTCTCTGGTTCCTCGTCTACGGAGTCCATTCCCCGTGTGGCATGTTCAGCAGCGTCACTGACGATGGTAGCACCTGCACCTTCCATTCTCTCCTCCACTCTCACAGAGAAAGAAACTTGACACGCGCAGGCGAAATGTACAAGAGTCACTTCCAAGAGTCTCTCTCCGCGATTCGCAAGCCCTTACCAGAACAAAAGTAAACTGCAGGTGGCAGAGTCACAACTTGTGTGCATGTGCGCGCTGGTCATGAGACTTCTTGTGAGGTGCTACAGGAGCGACACAGAGATTACTCGGAGCATGGGATCAAGAGCAATGAAAGGAGAAAAATTGTGCAAAGTGGAAGTTGGAGGCTGCTTGAAATCAGTGCAGGGCAGCACAGCCGATGTGAATCAAAATGAACTCAAAAAATCAGGATTTTAGTTCCATGCAAAATCCTAGAGCGCTTGTGCAAAAGGGACTTCAGATCTCTCGCCACGCAAACAATATGTGAACTGGAACGGAGTGAGGTATTTAATGTGCACTGGTAACCCAACTCCAACTGATTGGAAAAGAATCTAAAATATAAAGAAGACTGTTTCGAAGCAAGGATGGTGCGATGGGGAAGCAGAATGTCTTGGCATGAAAGGAAGCTCAATATTTCAGATGTAAAGTATCTCAGATGTAAAGTACTTTGCTTTGTGTAAAACTGAATCAGATCTTGTCATCGAATAGTGTGAGCGATCGAGGTAACGACAACATGCCAACACAACAAGCGTGTTCCTCCATACTCGGTGTGACTAGAACATGTTCTTAGATGGTTAGAATAAATCTTAACTTTGTTGTGAAAGCGAACAGGATATGTGAGTGAATGCTTCAATGTGCTGATACACTCGCTGTCGACACGTAAGCAAGTGGATGCATTCTGACAACTGAGTGGCACATGGGTAGTCAGCTCGGAGGACAAACCCTGTTGTACTTTATTCTTGCTTTGATGATCGGTACAGTATTCTACATTACTCTACACAACTCGTGGGTTCAGATCGAACTGATCAACATTTCGGGAGTTGGCTTAACAGAAGGTCCAAGAACTGTGTACAGCGTATACGAGTACTCGAGGTTCTCAACTTCTCGTATAATTATTCAGTCCACCGGAGACAGTGAAGATGCTGGGCTGGCCAATTTTGATACTCTATGTGGGGCCTTAGATAGCAAGTACAACGCACAGGACAATGTCTGGACTGTATGATTATTCAGTCCACCGGAGACAGTGAAGATGCTGGGCTGGCCAATTTTGATACTCTATGTGGGGCCTTAGATAGCAAGTACAACGCACAGGACAATGTCTGGACTGTATAATTATTCAGTCCACCGGAGACAGTGAAGATGCTGGTCTGGCCAATTTTGATACTCTATGTGGGACCTTAGATAGCAAGTACAACGCACAGGACAATGTCTGGACTGTATAATTATTCAGTCCACCGGAGACAGTGAAGATGCTGGGCTGGCCAATTTTGATACTCTATGTGGGACCTTAGATAGCAAGTACAACGCACAGGACAATGTCTGGACTGTATAATTATTCAGTCCACCGGAGACAGTGAAGATGCTGGGCTGGCCAATTTTGATACTCTATGTGGGACCTTAGATAGCAAGTACAACTCACAGTACAAAATCTGGACAGCAAAGTCAATCAGAATCAAGCCACGTTCTTTCTTTTTAAACACTCATTGCAATTCAACCCTCAGCTCACTTGAATATGTAATCCACTCTTGGCTTCTTTGCTGCATCTGATGCCCACGAGATTAAGGTTGAACTCAGATACTCTATGTGGGACCTTACATCGCACAGGACAATGTCTGGACTGTATAATTATTCAGTCCACAGAAGAAAGTGAAGATGCTGGGCTGGCCAATTTTCAGAATCCACGAACGAGTCACAGTCCAGCAGCCGATATCCCTTCATGCAGTAGTAATCAAAGTTGTGCTGACTGCCTCTCTAAATAAGGCACATACGGAATTTGAGGGTCAAAGTGCCGAATTTCGTTTTCAGAAAGTTCCCTATTTTCAAACAAAAAATCTTTGTTGTCTAGGTCTCTTTACCATAGAAATTCCCGGAGGGCCTCAACTAAAACTTTGTGGTGAAGGTTTTTGACAAAATCTTTGTTGATCTAGGTGATTTTACTAGAAAAATATTCATCTAAATCTTTTGTGACAATTTCTTTGTTCATCTTGGTGACTTTACTGGATAAACTAGCTCAGTACTAAATTAAAACTTTGCCGCGAACACCTGATGAGTTGAACCAAGCAATTTCTAGTATTTCGTTTCCTTGGTTACCTCAATAAATTGTAGCTTTTAAATCAAGGAAAATTATTCAACTAGTTTTAAAATATTAAGATAGTCTCAAAATTTTCTTGGAAACAAAAGACATAGATAACATACTGAACCCAGAACATTACGAAGTCGATGTTCTCTGTTCACAAAAATCTGTTAGCCGTAAAGTCTGATTCCAGGTTTTAAGAAAAGATTTTTTCAAATCATGGAGTTAATCGTAAGATTAGTTTGACCATTTTCGAACACTACAAGGGTGTGGAGAGTGATTTCTCCCGAGCTAAAATGGGAAAAAGGACATTTAGAGATCAAAGATAACACCCATTTCTCTCGCAGGTGTTTTACATTGTCGAAAAATTCGGTTTCGTATATTTCGTATTTTGATTTGAAAATTATCCTTATTTGTTGAGATACGGAACATACGGAATCCGCCGTATATAGAGAGGCCTGCTCATATGCAACTAGAGCGGACCGTTCGACACCTGCACAAGACGGCGAACTGCACGGCTTGTCAGATCATCTACCGAGAAGATTTCGAGGAAAGCACAATAGACCTGCCCCTGTCGAAAGATGTGTCTGTTTCCCATTTCCACATTCTCAGCTCCGGGCCCTTGTCTACAATGGAATCAGTGTCAATGAACTCCTGATGGTTGATGGTAATGGGTGACTTCCTCCAAATACTGAAGTGGGCAGTCCTTCCTCTAAGCTTACTAGTCATTTATACACAAACTTTGTTATCGGCCAAGGAAGTGCAGAAAGTGTGTTAATTTGAAAAAGATGGAACAAGAGCAAGGTGGAATAACTTCAAGGCATCTTCATACTCCAATTGGTGTTCATCTTCAATCGACTACTCTTTTTTCAGCAATCGACTAACGTTAGTAAGCACAAGGTCGAGTGGTTAGTGAACCTATGAATAAACTTATGAATGAAGGTCAATTGAGTACAGTATTTTGAGGAGCGATGAGAGGAAGATTTCAGGCATGGAGAAGTTAGATTTATTCCTTACTTGTCAACATAAATGCTCTCATTGAACATGGAATTCTAGTAAATGGAACATATGATTCCAGACTAGCGCAAGTAGTATTATGTGATGGAACAGGTGGCACATAAACAAACAATGACAAAACTCACCTAAGACACCTGACGCATAAACACCATACGAAGCATCATTCAAAGAGCCTGTTGAGAATGAGTTCTAGGTGGAAGGTGATAACGTCAGCACTAGTGGCCGAAAGCATGAATCCGATAACAAGAGAGTCCAGGTGACGAAGGTTTTATTTGATTGATTTTAGAGAATCACACCAAAGACGAAAACAGGAGCTCTTCAGGTGTCGACCGTCGAATAGGAACTCTCAAAGCACCTCCTTAAGCCATTCCATGTACTAACATGTCGCCTGAAATGATGGAGAACATGGAGATTCTTAACCTCTTCCAACTAAGCAGGTTGAATCAAAGTATGTACCGGTTTGGAACCATGACTAAGCTGACTAAATAGAAGTTCTTCAACTCATAGATACCGATGGTATACAAATTGACTGCAATCTTGTTGAGATTCTTGGAGCAATCTTGTTGAGATTCTTGGAGCAAGAGCTTGCATAATCATGTGGGCGCTCAGCGTAACCACAACATGCGAACACATCAAGCGTGTTCCTCCATAGTCGGTGAGATTGGAAATAGTTGTTAGAAGGAAAGAGTAAATCTTGACTCTGTTGGTCAAGCAAACAGGATACGTAGGTGAAGGCATCAGTGTTCTGATACACTCGATATCCTCATCCTAAAATCAGATATTTAATCGTCATCTTCATTTAATCTTTTTTCCTGTATTCTTTGATCTATTCAAGCAGGTGGATGTATTCTGACAACTGAGTGGCACATGAGTTGTCAGCTCGGTGGACAAAGCCTGTTGTGCTTGTTTCTTGCTTTGAAGTTCGGTACAGTAGTCTACATTACTCTGCATATCTCGTAGGTTCAGAACAACTGATCATGTCGAAGAACTATGTACAGAGTATACGAGTATTCGAGATTCTGCTGGAGTGATTGTTCTTCTACCTCAGCTGTCAAGCATGTGAGCGCATTTACATTTCTAATACCGGAGTCTGGAGTACTTCCGATCTCAGACATTAAAACGGAATCAGATTTCGTCCGTGCTAAGAGCATATCTGCTTGTTTACCACTTCGTACAGAGCAGGATACAGCCAGCATGATACTAATGTCAAAGTGTATTTACGTGATAAAAATACGTCCAGATTGTGTTTATATTAGGGAAGTAGGTGTTTGATGTGCACCGAAACATCTGAAATAGTGACTTATAAATTTGTATGAGATGCCTAGCAAGAATTGCATCTTTAATTGATGATAAGTTGTAAACAAGCTCTAGTAATTTTTTTCTGACAAGACATTTAACGATAAAAGTGTCATTTTTACATTACTCAAAAGAATTCTTAATGGCCTCAAAGATTTTGACTCTATAATTTATGACATCTTTGTAGATTTGATTCCTGGACTCTGATTTAGATGCATCATCAAGATGAATGCAACTAAGTGTACTCTAATTATACAACTCCGCTTATGCGATGAGATAAATGGTCGATGTTAACTATTTTATTACTAAAGTTAGAATAAGAAAATTATCCTAGCATGCTAGGTAGGTTTTCAATGTGTATGTCAATATACGTACACACTCTAAATATTTTGATACATTTGAAAGTCAAGTAGAATATTCATTACACTTGAAAGATTAAAAATAGATAAAAAAATTCAAGCTATAACCTGTAAAAATGATTTACTCACTCATTTCCTCCCTTGCCAAACATCATAAATAAATATACTATCCAAAAAAATTGTAAGCAGCTTAGAATTCAAGTTACATAAGAGGTTATCATCTTACTTTACTTTTGCATGTTCATCCGATTTTTGTTGTCTAATCTCATCATTGATAAAGCCCAAAATTTTTTGGTTTCTGCAGGTGTCCATCGTTGTACTTGGATTAGAACTTTATTAAAAAGTTGGAGTTCCTGCGCAATTATTGTATTCACATAGTTTGTTGCAACTATCATTTCATAGTTTGCTAAAAGTCTCTTTTGCACACAAGTGTGAAAAGTGTCATGCACTCACTCTGAAAACAACACATAACTCCTCCATTATCCTTGACATTAACTTTTAGTGCAACATCTCT